TACAAGCGAAATACACAGCGAGAGGCTCGAACCACCAACCTCAATCTTGACAGCCCTACCCGCTACCACTGCGCCAAACACACTTTTCCAAAATCAATTACTGTACTGTATTGTTTTTTGTCTCTAGGGGCGACTACCTGTTCGATGGATGGCGATAGAATCTATAAATTACAGCGTATATACAACGAAGAGTGATGTGTAAGTGTTATATATTAAAGTGTGTTAACCGCTCATCGTTAAATATTATTTACTAAACATAACATAGTTTTGTATTGATCATGGATATATGGATTCCATTCTGTCAATGTTCAAATATTGTATATTATGATAAATTACAGTTTGGTGTTCAAATTATTTGTGTAGAAAGCATCACCGTTAATTGGTAACGTAAATATTTTTCCTGTGGCCCGGGTTCGACTTCCAATGTGGGAAGCACATTTTTACAGACCATATTAACAAACAGTGTGTGTATGCACAAGATGGTTATTGGTTTTAATTTATTATAAAAAAAAAATAATTTGTTATGATATAAATAGTATACATTAAGTTGGCCTATTTATCATGTTCGGGGAAAAACATTTCTGTCACCATTAGACAGCAAATGCATTTGCATTATTATGTACTTAATGTTAAATATAATAATCTTTTGGATAATATTTTCAGGTGGTCGTTTGGGATTTTATTGTGGGAGATTGTTACACTGGGTAAGTAATAACGTAACTTCATGAATATTTATATAGGTATTGAAGACCAATTGGAAATAGTTTGTAATTATTGTAAAAGGTCCATAGGTGATTTATTTATTTATGTATTTACCTAATTTATATAGAGCCCTTTTCATGAATATTAATTTTCAAAGGCGCTTTACATAAGAATAAAAAATAATTATAAAAAAAATTGGTTCAGCATTTGTATTAGTTTAATTCTATTGCATTCAACAGGCGGTACTCCATATCCAGGCATGACGTGTGCTGAGCTTTACGAAAAACTGCTAATGGGATACAGGATGGAAAAACAACTAAACTGCGAAGACAAAGTGTAAGTCAACTTATATTAAGCGCCAGTAGATTCGTTTATATTGATTTACAGTGCATTTTTGAATGAAACTGGTAACCTTTCTTCATTGGATGTATGATACAGTAGTGCATCCTCTGCTGCCCTCCTGAAAGAAGCTGGGGATAGGGTATTCATGGCTGGCCATGTTATCGTGTAGGTCAACCATGTACACCAATAACAATGGGCTTTTTCGACTGGTTCATTTCGTTGAGTACGAATTTTCGTTGAGTATTATTTTCATTCGACTGCAGGTTCGTAAAATAGACTTCGTTGACAACGAAAATTAACGTAACCAGAAAACATTTTTTTACGAAAAAAAAAACCCATACTGTCACAATCCGAAGCATCCTTGATTATACCATGGAGGAAATCTTAATATATTTCCTCCATGATTATACGCAGCGTGTATCGCGGTATGCAGCCATTTTGTTTTGTCGAGTATTTACCTGTTTTCTATTCGACTGGTCGTCTTCGTTAAGTAGGATTTTACCACTGCGCAGGTGGGCGTGGTTTAACGAAGAACGACCAGTCGGATACGGTCAATTCCACTTATCGGGTACATTTACACTCCTGTATCTTAGGACAGAAACCATAGATCCTGTGGAGACCTTCGGTTTAGTTTGTTCATTTAGATGCAATAACAACAGAAACGAAGCACACCAAGACACCGAGCA